GGTGGGGGGGGCGATACCGGCCCGCGTGGGATAGTGTAAATTCGTACTTCGGATGGACGATGCGGCAGAATCATATGTACTCCAGATTTCGTAATCAAAGGGAGGGGGTCTGGACCCTCCAAGACAAGCCGTTTCAGACCTCCCCCGTGGGAGAACCCTCCAAAACATCGTCCCCAGACCTCCAAGGCCCTCCAAGATAGAGTGGAAGACCCCCCCCCCCCGAAATGAGACCCCCCTCCCTTTATTACGAAATCTGGAGTAAACTGCAATACGAAAAAGGGGGATCGTTAAGTCCGGGGGGGAGGGTTGTAGAACCTATTTCCCTTCTCAGAAGGCTCGGCAGTCCCCGGGCCTTCTGAGATGAGAAGTTTCATAAGCCCTCACCGAAGACGCAGAAAACTCCCGCCGCCTTCTGAGACGCCCCGCCCGCCTTCTGAGAAGGCCTTCTCCTTCTCGCTTCCCCCTCGCTCGCCGCCGATCCTAGGTGCCCCCTCCTACACGCTGCCCCGCCTCCCCTGGGACGCACATAGACATATTGAGACTATATGTCCTCCTTGGAGGCGGGCGACCGACCCAACCATACAGTATACCCATGTTATAGTACATCGTTTCCCGAGCGGTGTGGCCAGAAAGCGCCCGCCACGACGCATACTAGAAGATTTCCCGGTGCGCGCGTCGCCCCTGGGGGGGCGACGCACATACAGTATAAGTATGTTGGGGTGACGCCGAGATCCCCCCTCCCCTGCCCCACCCTCTTCTCCTCCTCCTCTTCCTCCTCCTCTTCCTCCTCCTCTTCCTCCTCCTCCTCCTCGATTCCATCGTTTTCGGGCCCTCGCTCGTGCCCCTCGCCGATGTCTTCACAGGAGCTGAGGCTCGACGCCGACCCGCGTCCAACGAAACTTTGCCCCGCCTCCCCTCTTCCTCATGTCACGATTTCTCTCCCCAAAAACCCACTTGCCTTCTCCCCTGCTTCTGTTCCTTCCCCTATTCCTCCTCCTCCTCTCCCCCTGCCCCCATTCCCTCCCTCCTCTTTCCCCTGCCCGGCGACGGCGACGACCGCGACCAAGACGACGGCGACGACGCCGACGCCGGCCTCCTCACTCCCGGATCGACGGCGACGGCGCCGACCGCGACCAAGACAAAGACGACGGCGACGAACAGGACGACGGCAATGACCTCGACGGCAGCGACGCCGGCGGCGAAGAGGATGGTGACAAAAAACAGCGCTGACGGCGACACTGGCGCTAGGTCGGATGTTCCCCTCTACGGGCGGATTTTGGACGAAAGATGAAGCATCATCAAGAAATATCCAACAACAATCTTCAGACGTACTCCAAAAATCGTCCCCCGCCTATGGTTGCCCTACTTTGGAATATTCCTCCCGTAGAGGGACATGCCCGACCTAAAACAACGTCGACGGCGGCACTGGCGACGGCCACGGCGACGGGGCAGGCGGCGACGGCGACGGCGGCGACGACCTCGAGGGCGGGCCTGCAGAGGCAGCTCCGGGCCCGCGCGATCGCCGAGCCCTTCGCGCGAAGCCCCCTCCTCCTCATCCTCCTCGTCATCGTCGTCGTCGTCCTCCTCCTCCTCCTCCTCCTCCTCCTCCTCCTCCTCCTGGTCGTCGTCGTCGTCGTCGTCGTCGCCCTCCGCGTCATCGGCGGCGGGGTTGGAGGCGATCCTCGTGGTTGTGGTCGTCGCCTTCGCATCGTCGGTGCCGTCCCCGTCGTCGTCGTCGTCGTCGTCGTCGTCGTCGTCGTCGTCGTCGTCGTCGTCGTCGTCGTCGTCATCGTTCTCGTCGCGGTCATCGGTCTCATTCTCATCGCCGCCGCAGCCGGGAGAGAAAGACGAGGAGGAGAGGGAAAGAGGAGGAGGGGAGGAACAGGGAGCCACGAAGGAGGGAGCGTGGCGGCACGAGGAGAGGGCGTGAGAGGCGGGGCAGCAAGACGAGCAATAGAAAGGGGACACCAGAAGAAGGTAGTACCGATAATTACCGCAACTCCCCGGACCTCTCCCGGGGTGAGTTCTGACCAAAATCTCGAAGCGGATCCAGCGGTGACGACGAGGGCCTCCCAGGAGGCCCAAAAGGAGGGAGACTGGGGAAGGGTAGCGGTGTGGGTACCAGAAGGTAGTGCCGATACGGCAGCTCCCCGGACCTCTCCCGGGGTGCGTTCTGACCAGAATATCGAGGCGGATCCAGCGATGACGGCGACGGCCTGCCAGGAGGCCCGGAAGGAGGGAAACTGGGGGAGGGTAGCGGTGTGGGTGAGTACCTTTTCTCCTCCTTCGAGGGAGGAGGAGGGGGAGGAGCAGGAGAGGGAGGAGGGAGGGAGGGAGGGAGGGAGGAGGGAGGGAGGGAGGGAGGGAGGGAGGGAGGAGGATGAGGATGAGGATGAGGATGAGGATGAGGATGAGGATGAGGATGAGGAGGAGGAGGAGGAGGAGGAGGAGGAGGAGGAGGGATGGGAATGGGAATGGAAATGAATGCCTGGTCTGTGCCAGGCTTCGCCTTCTAGCGGGCCGCCGCTCCGCGGGACCAAACATTACGACAGACGGGCCACAGGGGCCCAGCCCCGGGCCGGAGGGCCACCCACGGCCACCACGGCGCTACCCCTCGGCGGGCCCCTCAGGACAAGAGGTCGTCCTCCTGGAGCTCTGCCGCGGCTTGCGTCTCGCGTCGCCGCTCCTGCTCCTCCTGGGCCTCGCGGCGCTCCCAAGCGATCGCCGCCTGTTGGCCTCTGAACCCGTGGAGCGCTGCGACCTCTTCGAGTCCGAGGGGCCGCCATGCCAAGCCGTACCCGGCCTCCACTTCTGCCGCCTCTGCTGGGTCCAGCACTGCACGCCAGCTGGCACGCGTTACCTGGTCAGGGCACCTGGGCTCGTCGAGTCGGACTCTCTTCTGGCGTGGGTGCGGGTGGAGGCTTTGTCTGAGTCGGCGCCTGGCCTCCGCCAGGCCGGGCGCGTCGGGGCCCAGACATGGCTCCAGCAGCTTGCCCCAACCCTGCCGCTGGTGCTGCGCATTGGCACCGCAACTCTTGCAGAAGAGCGCGTCCGGCTGGCCGGTGCAACCAGCCATCAGGATACTGTGGCCACGGAGCCGCCACGGGCTCTTCAGATCGTCCGCGCCCTTCTCGGTGTAGCACTCCGCCGGCACCTCAGTTTCTCCTTCGCTGCTCTCATGTCCCAGCATCGCGGCTTCCCCGCAGCCTCCTCCTCCTCCTCCTCCTCCTCCTCCTCCTCCTCCTCCTCCTGCTGGCGGGGTTAACCGCGCAGCCCCAGCCAGAACATTCTCCAGGCCCTCGTGGTCGCGCAACTCGTGTTGCTGGAAGTGGGCCTGCGCATCGCCTAGCCACCGGCCGAGCTGCTTGGCTCGCCGCCTGCACGCCGCAGCGAACAAACGTGCCTCCTCGGGCACCTGCCAGAGCCTCGCGCCCCGTTTGGCCATTCGGTCGGCGACTGCATTGCCCGTCTCCAGCTGAGCAGCGGGGGGCCGCTGGCCACCTCTTCCGAAAGATGGGCCTTCACCTTGATCACCTCCACGTCCTGGTCCACCATTTCAGCCAACCAGGCTCGCCAGAGGTGGCGGCGGACGCTCGCGTCCCTAATGGCGAATTCCCGGTCTCTGGCGCACCTGACCGTGCCCTTGCAATCACAATGCACCGTCAGGGGTCCCTGGCCCAGCGCCGCGCGCATCTTGAAGGCGTAGTCTTCCCCATCTCTCGCTTCCTGCAAGGGGGCCTTAGACAGGGGTACCACCCCGCAGGCCGCCCCGGCGACCTCCCTCTCATCGTGCATGGATATGATAGCCCAGCCTGCCCGGCGCAGCGCATCGTCGTCGACGTCGTACGCGCTGCCGTCAACGAAGACGTCGCCGGTGAAGAACCCCCCTACCGGCCTCGCGTGCCAAACCAGGCGGGCGCTCTCGGGGGCCTCGACCCTGGGGAAACACTGCCCGGGGTCTGGCAGCAGGGACCTGGCGAAGAGCTCGCCCGCCGCCTCGCCGCGCGACCGCACGACCGCCGCCGCTTCCACAAGAGCGGGGGGACAGCGGTCTCGACTTCGCGGCGCGGTGCAGTCGCAATCGAAGTACCGATGCCACAGGGTCCATCGCGCAGCCTGGCACATCGTGCACCGATCGTCCCCTGCCTTGCCCGCGTCGCACAGCCTGGCCCGCGTCCAGTGGGGGCCCCCGACGAGACCCCCAAGGGCACGCTTCTGGGGGCCGCCCCACTCTGGCTCATCGCCGCCGCGCCTGGCCAGCAGCGCTGCCGTCGGTGTCCAATTCAACGGAGTAGCCCAGGTACCTTCGCCCCGGAGTCGGGCGAGCGCGCACGCGTCTGAAGCCTGCTGGGCGCACCTCCTGACCACCTCCATGACAGCCCCCGGGGAGATCCACTTCATGTTGATCATCTCGCCTCCCGGGAGGTCCATGACGTCGTAGCTCGGTAACGTGATCCCGATCCTGTTCATTCCCAGGTGGCACGCCTCTGCTGGGCACCTGCTGGGCCCACGGCCTCGCCTTCGCAAGGAGGCCTCGGCCTGCCTCCCAGCACGTCTGCAGCACGCCGTCGGCGACGATGCCCTGGGTGAGGCTGGTGGCCCATGCGCGTCCGATCTCCACCACGTGCAACGTCCAGGGATCGCGTCTACTCCCTCGTGGATGGGACTTCAACCTGAGACCCGCGCTGCGCCCTGCTGTCAGCCCCCCATCGGCCCTCGCTGTTTGAATCCGGAGCTAGCGGGGCTTTCCGTCTGCAATCCATGCGACGGCCGAGCCCCATAGGGCTGTGGCCGCGGGGCTTCCTCTCTGCAGCTGCGCGGTGGCCGCCCCCGCACGCCTCAAGATTTGCACCCTGCTGCTGGGCCGCGCCGCCTTCCGCAACCGGGCGCCCTGTTCCCGCGCGCGCGCGCCTCCAGCGGCCGTCAGTGGCGTCGCATCCTAAATTGCGCGCTCCCGAGGCCCGGCGCGGGCCCGCAGGGGCGCCCGAGCTTGTCGCAGCCCTGGCCAGGGCGGTGTCCATGGCCTGCGCCACCGCCTCGGTGTTGGCCAAGAACTTGGTCTTCTTCCAGCTGACCTTGAGGTCCTCGCCCTCCAGGTCCTCCACGATGGCGCGAATGGCTGCGGGCAGCTGCTTTTGACTTGCTCCTCGCCAAGAATACGTCGTCCACGATATTCTGAAAGCGCGCGACAAGGCAAGTCTACCGCAGCCTCCGGGCCACCGCGTGGAGTATAAAAACTTGGCAACCCCGGTCGCACACGAGCACCAGGCCGTCAAGGTGCCGTTAGCTCGAATGACGCGCGAAATGGACCCTGACCAAGTGACCCGTCTGGCGAACCGGTAGCTTCAGTAACCTCCTCGGGAAGCCCGTCTCGTCCGCTGCCTTGGCCGACTCTGCGTGGCTGACGTGCTCGTAGAACTTTGCCAAGCCAAGCACTCCGGCCGCTGCTGCCATGCGCTTCAATCTCGCAAAACTCGCCAGCAGGTTAGACACCATGCCGGCCGCGTCGCAGGCTCTGTCCGACGCGCCCCAAGACGCTGGGTTGCCCAGCGATTCCTCCCAGCGTCTCACAAGGGGCTGGCGAAGCCTCGACCACAGCCGAATCCATAAGCAGCTGAGGTGGAATGGCCTCCTGCCACCGTCGTCCTTACCCAGGAGTACCGTGATGGGGCCCCACATGCCCACGTCACACGGCCGCTCCTCCCAGGCACTCAAGATGTCCAGAAACCTGCGCCGGCAGGCCCCGGGCAGATGCCCAAGTACCCTGGGGCGCAGCCGATCCCACCCCAAACCGCAGCCCACCTTGCACCTGCGCAGCGCCTCGCCCAGGTCCTCGAGCCTGAGCGGCGGCAGCGCGTCGCCGTCGGGCCACTCCTCCAGCGGCGGCTCGCCTCCACGGCTTGCCTTGCACCATATGGGGCATCCACTCGTCCAGGACCACCTCCAACGCCGCCGAGCCCTCGACCGGCAAGCCAGGGCTGTCCGCGCGGGCAGGCTCGACGACGTCACACTCTGCATCCTGCTGCTTGATGAACTGGAAGGCGCGCGGACCTCCCAGCTCCGTAGCGGCCGCTTTGGCCCATGCCTTCCGCTCTTCGCTGCTGTTGGCGGCGTCCCGGGCGTCCGCAGCGGCCGCCTGCCGTCGCACCTCCTGGAGCAGCAATGCCCCCGAACCTGCTGGTCCCCTTTGGACTTCCGCGGCTAGGGCGGCCATGCTGAGCCCTGCCAGCGGTCCTTCCGCCAGCCACTCGTCGTCTTTATCCATGCCGCGCACCTGAACCACCTGCTTGCGCAACTCCGCCCAGCCGCGGCCCAACCTGCTGACGGACTCCACCAGAGAACTGAGCCGGCCTAGCGCTGCCACGCGCCGGTGCCATTCCCGCGCCGTCAGGCCCGACCTATCCCGGCAGCGCCTGGACCAGTGCGCCTCCAGGGACATCTCCTGCATCACCAATCCTCCTCCTCTGCTGAGCTTCCCTGCCGCGTGGTCCTCCCCCATGCCGTGCAAGGAGCTCAAGTACCTCTCCACCTCTGCGAACCACTCTTGGCTCGCCTCTCCGACGTGCTGCACTCCGGCGTCCATGTCCCGAACCTCCTTCTCTTCCGGCGCCGGGCACACCGGGGGAGGGAGCTCCAGCGGGAACCGCTTGAGGAACCTTCGCCACCTGGATGCGCGCCCGCTTGCGCACGCCCTTGAGCCGCAGCGCCACCGGGCAGTGAGGCGACATCGGCGCGCCCTCCACTAGGCCGACCTCGTCCACGAGCTCCGCGAGGGTGTAGGAGACCACCGCAAAGTCATATTCCTGCTCCCCGCACGTCGGTCAGGCAGGGGCTGCCAGGGAGCCTCCAGCACGCCTCACCCAGTAATGGACGAAGCATGGGTCGACGTTCCAGTCGCCCATTGCTGCCCAGGGGCGCCGCCAGCCGAGGATCTCCCTGAGCATGCCCTCCATGATGTCCAGGTTCTGCCCGGTCTTCCCGATCTTGTCGACGAGGTACACAGACACCACCACAATCGGCAGCTGCAGTCCGACGTTCATCCTGACGGCCTGGGCCCGGTGGCCAGGGCACAGCGGGGTGGGCAGTGCTTGGGCCGCACACGCCGCCGACACCAAAACCCCTGTGCCCCCCGACGACTGCAGGGGCCCATCGCCAGTCGCCTCTGCGAGGCCCAGCACTGCCTTGAGCCCCTGCTCCTGGGCCCAGCGCCTGGCTGCCCCGTGCTTCGTCTCAAGCTTGATGCGGTGTTCCTGCACGCATACGATGTCGGGCATCCTCGCGCCAACGTCCTTGAACCACCATTCGAGGAGCTTCTCGCACGATGTCCACGCATTGGTGTTGCACGTCCACAGCAGCAAATCCTCGGACGGGCTAGGAGCCCTGCGTCCCCGTTCCTGCGCCAGGTCCCCGGCGCCGCTTGAAGGCGCTTGTGGTGCTGAGCTGCGCCCACATTGCCTTCCGCTTCTCCACCAGCTCTGGGCGGTTGGCAGGTTCACCGCCTTCGGCGCCGCCTCCAGCCAGCCCAACGGCTGCCCACAGGGAATCTCGCCGTCGTCCTCTGGATCAGGGACGTCCGCACCGGGCTCGGCCATATGAACATCTGCATCGCGAGCGCCCGCAGCACCGGCACCGCCTGCAGCGCCAGGAACGCTCGCATCGCCGCCCCCAGCGCCCTCGGGAGCTGCGGCCTGCGCGGCCTGTGGGCGCCCACGGCTGCAATCTTCTCGACCACGCCCCGGAGGCCCCCGAACTTCTCGGCGAACTCCGCCTGGAGTTCTGGGGACGAGATTCTGTCCAGCCCGGCGACGGTGCAGGTCCTGGTGAAGGCCTCCATGATCGCGGCTGCAGCCTCAGCCGCCCCTGCGCCTTGGACCTTCGCGCGCTCCTCCTGAAGCTTCGCCTCGTCCTTGGCCACCTTCAGTTCCTTCCGCTTGGCCTGGTGTCCCGCCAGGATGGCGTTCTCTTTGTCCAGGCGCTTCTGCACCTCGTCGGCCTCCGCCTGGATCTCCTGGATCCGGCGCTTGGCCTTGTCGATCTTGGTTTTATTCTCGTCGAGCCGCATGAGGATCTGGCGAAGCCCAAGATGGCCTGCGGCATATCGCTTGCTCTTGGCCTCCTCCGCCTCCGCGTGCTTGTCGACGATCGCCACGCAGCGCATGAGCTCCGCGCAGTCCTTAGGCCAAGCCCCCCGGTCGGCGCCGTACTGCTGCACATGCATGTCCACGAGCAGCTTCGCCGTGGCCAGCGGCACCTCGGCGCTCGGCTGCCCCGCTGTAGCCTCGGCCGCAGCCGCCGCCCCAGGCTTGGGGCCCTCAGCCTTCGCCTTCGACCCCTTGTCCTTCGCCTGGGTGGCTGCCTGGGCGGTGGTCCAAACGGCCGCCTCATAGGCGCGCTGGCGGACCGCCAAGGGCGCCGCCCGCCCGCAGCGGCGGCAGGACAGGCGCGAGGCCCAATTGCCAGCCTCCCCGAAGTTGCAGCCCCACTGTGGGGACCTGGGCCCTGGGAGCACCACTGCCGCGCCGCTGCCCGCGCCGCCGTCTGGGGGCCACCAGGGCGGTGGCGGCCCCCTCGCCCAGGCCGAGCCGCCGCCACTGCCGCCGCCGGCATGGCCCCCTCCGCCGACTCGGCCTTTGCCCCCACGCGGCGGGGCCTGGGCCGAGGACGGATGCATGACAAAGGATGAATCGTTGTTGTTAGCTCCTGCTGACGCGCCGCTCTGAAGTACGCCAGCAGACGTTCCGAAGGCGCCAACCTCCAGAACCAGAGGAGGCCAGCCCTCGAGGAGGAGGAAGAGGAGGAGGAGGAGGAGGAGGAGGAGGAGGAGGAGGCCCGCGAGAGGGGCCAGCCCTCGGAGGAGGAGGGAGGAGGAGGAGGAGGAGGAGGAGAAGTGGAGGAGGAGGAGGAGGGGAGGAGGAGGAGGAGGAGGAGGGGCAGGGGGAGGGGGATGGAGGGAGGAACGCGGGACGACGCAAGCGAGGCGGGGCGACGACGGGACGCCGCACCCGGGCGGCACGTCCGCGAAGCTCGAGCGGCGGGGGGCTCCGAGGGTCGCCCGGGGTGGGGCGGCGAGCAGCACGGGGGGCCGGGGTCTGCGCCAGCCGCGCCTCCTCGAGGGCTGGCCCCTCTCGCGGGCCCCCTCCCCCTCCTCCTCCTCCCCCTCTCTCCTCCCTCCTCTCCTCCTCCCTCCTCCCTCCTCCTCCCCCTCCTCCCTCCTCCTCCTCCCTCCTCCTCCTCCTCCCCTCCTCCTCCTCTCCCCTCCTCCTCCTCCCCTCCTCCTCCTCCTCCTCCTCCTCCTCCTCCTCCTCCTCCCTCCTCCTGCCTGCCGCAACCGCTGCGCCACGCGCGTCGGGTCCGCGCTCCCGCGCCCGCGGCCGCGGCCGCCGCGCGAGAGGAGGGAGAGAGACCCACCTCCACCACCCCAACGACACCTTACTCACGAGGAGAGGAGTGGGGGGCGGGCCGTCGGGCCCAGCTCATCCCCCCCTCAGGGCCGCCAGCCACCGCCTTCTCCGGCGGGCGGCACGCTCACCCTGTAGGGGGGGCCTTCTCGACCCAGAAGTAGCAGTCCTACGCGGCCCCCCAGTCGTGGTGCTGGTGGTCGCCGGTGCTGCTGGCCGCCTTGTAGTCCAGTTTGAACTGGACCCTCAGCTCCACATGCATCACTTGCTGCCATCGGCATAAAAGACCAACCGCTCACTGGAGTCACGCACGGTGCCCTCGCCAGCAATCATGGTTGTAGTCGTCCACTGCCGCGCCATACTCGTCGAGAGGAACGTATAGCTGCATGAGGTCTGGGCACGTGTCGTCCCAGTCTGCGCCGTCGTAGTATGTGCGGTTTTTCCATGCATCCTGGACACTCATCGCCATATGAAGTGATAGTTGCTCGGGATATTCTTTCAACTTGGCCGTGAGGTACCTGCCCTGTGTATCTCTACCAATAGAAGCCAAATGTCCATTCATATGTGGGCAACGTCCTCTGTCATCCCGAGCTCTCATAGTTCTGCCAAAACTTGGGCATGCAATGCTGAGCACTGTCGTCGGCTTTTTTGACGCAGCTCCAAAGCAGCACTGGTCGAAAGTGATGAGCTCCACATCTTGGAATGCTAGCATCCTTCGTACTTGAGCCAGTGCCCAGCATGTTGCCGTACCTGGGCGCCAATTACGTGCTGGGTGCTCCATCAGCATCGGGGTGACGGTCACAATGCATACTGCGGCCAGTAGCAGGGCAGCTCTCATCGGCAGGTTACCGAGTTGTACTTGCTGACGGTACCGCATGTCGATGTGTGGCATGCCCCATGGGTGTGTGGCCGATCTGAGCGGTGGTGGCCCCTGGTAGTCTCCATCCAATGCTACATGTCGCGCGCCAGACCATGTTTCACACGGCGGCGCCGCCACCACTCCAAGGACATATCCTTCTCGAATCATGGTAGAAAATGCCAATATTTGTTCCATCTGTGTTAAGTCTGCACGGCTATTGGAATTGACAACGTCTACTGATAACACAACACACGGAAAATCTGTCATACCTTCGATCCAGTGTTGTAGATCCCCTCGTCGACGTCGCCCTGAAAACAAGTGTAAAATATATTTCACTGTTGGCGTATGCACAGGCGCTGGTGTCGGCTGCCGTTGTTGATCATCTGGTTGCCTGTGTTCACGTTGGGCTGTATCGTCTTCTTCTCCGTCTGGGGGTCCGTCGATCATCTCCTGGGGCACACTTGGTGGTAAGAACTTTGGTTTAGCCATTCTATCGCGTCGTCGTCGTCCATCCCTTCTTGCAGGAATCAACGCTTTTGTAGCATGGTAGCCTTGTCGCTTAAGTTCAGCAATGTGGGAGCGATCTAGGGCCATGAGCTTGTGCACTTCTTCGTCCCCCATGGCTTGGCTCGTCTGTCGTAGCGCTTCCAAACAAGCCTCGGATCGGTAGCGAAGGTGAGTGATAAGTCTAGGCCGTGTATGATATTCCGTACGACAGGCCTGACAATAGGTAGAAGTGGCATATCTTTGTGCATCATCGATCCCGTCGTGATCACGCTTGATATGTGCCATCAGAACAGAAGCATTCTCGTATGTGCGGCCACAATGATAGCATACTACTGGTGGTCGCTCCGGTGGCGGTGGTATTGCAGCTGCCTCGGCTGCTTGCAATATATGTTCAAGTCGATAATTCCAATCTTCGTAATGATGCTGGTCATGTTGGTGAGCACGATACTTGTCCCATACTAGCTTCAATGTCTTGCGAAACTGCTTCGGCTCGTGCTGGATGTGGTCGATCCAATCCTGGACGGTGCGGTGAGCAATCTCGTCCTCTTCGTCCTTGGCTGAATGTCGAGCTACCCATTGGAAATCTGCGGGTAATTGGGCAGCCCATCCATTCTTTGTTTTTGTGACCTCCCACGTGTGTTCCAGCATTGCCAGCAAAATCGTTGGCCCTCCTTCCAGCAAAGCCGTCAGGTATCGTAGTCGGCGTAGCCTCAGGCATGCCATGATGGGAGGACGGTGAGCTTGGTATAGTACATACTCGTTCGTACGTCGGCGCCCATCTTCCTGCGGCATGTGGAGCTTGAGGGCCGATCTGTACGAATAAACTTGGGCTGCTTCAAGGGTGTCAATCTGCTTGTTGCTTGGTGCTGGCCAGGTCTCACTGTGGTATCCCAAGTGCACATTTGCGTACGCGTCCGCTATCCGTAACTTGGGCTCGCACTTCATCGTATTCAGCTTGTTGATACTCTTACGGACAGGGCCCAACGCTTGCTTTTGCTTTTGCAGGTTCCGAGCAATCTGGGTACCAATGCACCCGTCCTTGTCAATCTGCGTGCCCAGGTGCTTGTACTTGGTCTCGATAAAGACTTTGATGTTATACTTCTTCGTGATGATATGGGGTTCAGGCGTGGAGAACAGCTGCTGCTTGACCAAGTTCGCTCCAGCTCCGTGTAGGGTGGGAAGTATTGCCGTCTTGGTACGCTTATAATTGATCTCGAAACCGTACACGGCCATCGCGCTGTGCACAATGTCCACGGTCCGACACATCTTTCTTTTTATTTCGTCTGCTCTGGCTTGGACCGCGAACAACGCGTCATCAACAAAAGACACATCCGACAACACGGTATTCACTTGGCGGCCTTTCGTGAACCTAGGAGCTCCTTCAGGTGCTGGTGGAACTCGATAGCACAGATCTGCTTGTATTAGCGTACTTTCTGCCAATGATAGTGGCCGCGTAAATGTAACATTGAAGAGCGAGTCCGCTAAACTATTGCCAGGTCTGGAACTGCGTCTTGATATTGCAACCTGGTCCGTGTGCGGCATGCCGAAGTGGGTCAGCCTGTTGGACTCAATCAGTTGCTGGGCGAGGTGAGGCTCCTTATCCAAGTGCTGCATTAATATAGGCGTTGATAGGGCCAACTGCGCCAGTGGTCTCAGAGCGTCTGGCATTGCGCTGTGTTCCATGATGTATTCAATGTCCAATCGGCGTGGGTCGTACCCGCTGGTGTCCAGCGCCATTTGCCGAATAACTCGGTGGAATGCAGCGCGAAGGTCGATGAACAGTATAAATCCACATTCCTTGCTTTCGCGCATGGTGCACAGGAAGGTATTGACAATATGGCCCGCCATAGCTGTAGACCGTCCTGGTCGTCCACCCGTTTGCGTGTCTCGAAGCATTACCCCAATGAGCTTGGAAAGGCATGTCTTGAGATACTTGTGATAGTGCTTGGAAACTTCACTGTTGAGGAGGATGAGCCGATAGTATTCATTCCAAGCTGCCTTGTCGATATTCTTGTGGAGCGCAATCCCGATCCCGTGCTTGAAAGAGAGCGGCTCTTGAATCAGCAATGCTGTCTTGCATAAGATTGGGTTGTATAGCCTGGCAAGTTCGCGGGGGGCCGTCTTGAGGATCGTGGTGCTGACCCCGTCTGCACCTGCTGCTTTGCCTTCCTTCACTTGGGAGAAGCTGTGGCCTAGCCATGGTAATGAAGGTACATTATCAAGATTAAGACGGGTATGTAGTACGGCAGTCGCGACGTCCTCGTTGTAACGAACCCGTACTTTGTTGGTAGTCGATATGTCTGCATCTTCCTGCGCCGCGAAGTGTCGAAGCCTGCTGGCTGCAAGCTTTCGGTCGTCGTCGATTGTGGTGCCGTCATCCTCCTCGTGGTATGGGGCAGGTCCCGCTGCAGGGTGTCTGCGGCTCTGCTTGCTCGGTACACGTCCGCCATATTGTAGGAGGGATCTGGTGCACGACCATGCCTGCCCTGACCGATGGTCCGTTATGAATCCTTGCGCTTCTTCGGCTATTCGTGTGAGGTGCTTTGCTCGGTCTTTTCTTAAGTTGTACGTGAGCTTTGGCTTAGCAGCTGTTAAAAATGTCCTCCCCGCCTGGACGATGTCCACCGCTTTTCCAAACGCACGATATGCTTCGACTACCAGAGCAAAGCGGTGAGCATCTTCTGCCCAGTTGTCTGAGTCCTTTACCTTGGCAATCACGTACTTCTCGGTGTGGG